TTTTATCCCTTCCTAGAGAAGACCAGTCATCCCTTCGGCCCACTCTTCACCTTCATCTACCACCAAGATCTTCGTTGGACCACATACGCACCCTGTGGAACACTGTCCTAACCTCGCCCTTGAGATGTGGAAGGGAGAAACGTCCTTGGCATTTTACCGAATGCCAGATTGTGTTGTGATGTGATTATTGCATTTACTCTAAATTTATCTCTGCCAAGTGCCAGGGATACAACACATCTATGCGAGTACTGCACAGCCCTACATGGCTATTATTACGATCGACTATTGAGGCGCAGCTCTATACAATGGCATAGAGTAATGTGGGATAGTATTGCTTGGAATTAAGATTGTAGTACTTCATGCATAGACGGTGATGTACTGTATCGCGGGTGCCAAATATGTGTATATAAGTCCTATCTACTACTGTGATATGTAGAATAATATAACCAAGCTATTCATCATATCGTCAAGCTCTGATAATCGTTATCCACCCTCTGCACTATCCCTAGAATATTCAACATCTCATACCTACTCATACCTTAATTACAACAGATTGCTCTACAGCAATGGAGAAACTTGAAGCACAAACCACCACCGAGAGGACGGGAAATGCTGGCATAAATGGATTGGGAAAGATTGCTCCAGTTCTTAAGAGTAAATAAATGTAACGAGAGGCAAATACCACACTGGGAGGATTAAGTCCAGCCGAAAAAGAATTTTTTCAGGACAAAGAGTCGTGAGGAAGGAGGAAAGGCGCAGGGCGCTTAATTTTCTTGGAATCAATTTCATTATTAATGTTTTGCAAATAGATTTGTCAAGCAAACTATGTATTTAGGTTGAAGTGTGTCTCGAGGGAGCATAGACCTGCATCACACCTATTGGGTGTAGGGCGTAAGCCTGATACGAAATGAATTCAAATCAAATTGTCCTCTATTCTAGCAAACAATGTCTCTCGAAAAGTCTGCTTTAGAAACTAAAGTTGCAGACATCTTACTTGCAATCAATTTATTGAAATAAGAATATTAAGAAGACTTGGCTTAACATTAAAAAATATACCCGGCAAACTGGGCTTCACAAGAAGGCAAGTGCAATTTGCGTGTGCTCGAGAGACTGAGAATCCTAAGCCTCGCAAAGGATGCCCATCTAAATTAAGCGCGGAACAAGTTGATGAGCTTGAGGCTTTCGTCCGGGAATCTCCTGAAAATCGACAGATGTGCTCTTTAGAACTTGCAATGGGACCCTTCAGCCACTGGGGATTAAATGAGTATTAACTTTCAAATGCCCTCAATAAAATAGGTTACAGCAGATGCATTGCTCGGAAGAAGCTTCCGTTAAGTGTGGTCAACATGCACGAAAGATACATAGCGGTGATAAAGGAAAATGGAGGGTACACAAAGTATTAGGATGGAGCTGACTAACTCAAAACATGTAGTACACTTTCATTTTACTTGTGAGCCATACTAAGGGCTTCAATGTAGACTTTTGTAACATAGAGCAGTTATTTTTGAAATAGATGTATAATTTTAGATAATTTCAATTGATTTTTATTTATTTTAAATTTAAATGAGGACCATTGTACATTTCCTTTGATGTTGAAAACCGTCCCCATTAATTTTGACTTTCACAGAATGTTGTTGGATAGTACCCCTGCTTGCATAACTAGTAAATAAACTAGACATGGGCCTGCATGAAGACTAAACCAATCTAATCAATATGCACAGGGATCTAACCCCAGTCATTTTGACAATTGTACATTTGGCATCCTTGTGTGTCCAGGTTACGGGATAGTGTGTTGAGAAGATTGGTGGAAACTTATTATGTAATCATGTATTATCTTGCTTGTAACAATTGGAGTTTCCTGATAGGATTATGAACAAACAACTTACATCTGACTTAACAAACTCCACAGGCATCCCTTGATACTTATTACAGGCGTGCTTTGGGTTCCAAGTCTCTGTAAGCCACTTTGCAACCCCTACACACAAACGCACATCCTTGGGAGACTGTAGATCACATTTGATGTGCAAGGAAGCGTGAAGACTCCAGCAAGTGGACCTATTAATCAAATGTGCCAATACCCAATGTCACGTGATGTGTTCTTCATGAAAGTATAATAACAATACCAGGTTGTGGCACAGAATCATATTGTTGTATTGAGTCTGTGCTGTACAGGAAATTAGACAGATGGATTACCTAGGCCTACCTCTAGGTTGCAGCCTCCCAACTTTGAGTTCCCTGTTCCAATCACTTCCAAAGCTTCAACAGCCCGGCACCTCTTGTGCCTTCACTTACAGGCTTTGGTTTCTTTATCGGATATTTCTAGTAGAGAACTCAGGAATATCTTCTTCCAATAATCACCCCTCCCAAACAGTGGTAGGAGAGGGGGCCGCGGGCCGTGTTGTAACTTTTTCGAAATTCAACCAGGAGTTGCAAACATTTTCCGACATATTAAAGGTGGAGTGTGGTATTGAGCTCGAGTTGATTTGGTTTTGAATGGTCTCGATTCTTTTTTTCGTGATTTACGTAGTCGGGGAACCTCTACAATGCGGGATTTCCGGCTAAGTTCAGGCCAGCATTGCTACATCTGACAGGAATCAGTGATAGGAAAAGATTTATTTGACCATTGGGGTATGATCAAAGCCAGGCTGTAGGAAAAGAGTTGAAGTCCTTGCTGAGTCTAAGACTATTGTCACGGACTGACTGATGTGGAGATGGTATCCTGCCAACCTCTGGCTCAAAGACTATATGGCTACTGCTATGTCATGGATAGATTCATGGTATGGAGGTAGAGTCTGATCCTAGCTTCGGCTGGTATCCCTCTAGACAAGTTCTAGTTACTTCGATGGAATTCTAAGCTACTTTGGCAATTAGTTTTTAGATGTTTCGGTATGGTATTTTATACTCTTACCAGTTCAGTGGGCTTCGATGGGATTCTAGCTTACTCTCAGGAGTTCGACAGGAATTGCGCTGGAACTAGATTACTGTAGTCTGTAGTCTGTAGCAGATAGTATCGAAGTATAAGTAGCTGAGGTATCTTCATGTCGAAAGCTCTCCAGCTTTCAGTCTTGTATTATTCCCTAGATATTCAAGAATCAAGAACCATGTCTTAATTGTTACTATATTTTCTTTACCATCAAGAACCCAAGATTTAGCGCCTACCTGTTCAAGTTGAGCAACCAAGTCCCAAGAGATCCTGACAACTACAAAGGATTTGCTAGGCCCTAAGAGAACATTGTATTTACAGGCTTGTACAGGATTAGGCGAAAAGATGTTTTGTTTTAGTTCTCTCCATAAAAAGCTTTTATCTCTCAATGTCTCTGCGAAATTACATGGGTCGTCAGATGAGATATATTTGCTAATCAAATATATCCAGACTTGGGTCAGTAGGCAGGCTAGTTCCCCCTATCAAAAGAATTGATATGGTACATCTAGATAGCTTTAATATGCTAACTTAACTGTGACAAGAAAAGCACAAAATATTTATAGTTGTTACGCGAGTGGATGGACCCAAGAGCTCATTGCTACCTACATGACCGGCAGTCTGGCCGGAAGCAACAGACGAAAGTAAGTTGGAATGCGATATAACGGGGAGCTTTTCGCATTGGCAAGGAATGCCATTGACAGTCAGGAATATGGCAAGTTCCGACATTAATTGAATGAATGTGCTCTGAAAAGTCACGACTATAAGGTCATTTTTTCTTAATATGAAGGCTAATTTCTTCTGACAGCTTCTTTGCCCTAGAGTAACTGACATGAACGAGCATCCAGGAATCAAGCATAAGGTCATTGAGCCCATGCCTGTAATGGAAAAAATTTGGTCGGGAGCAGAGTAAGCTAACTGTCGGTTGAAGGATCATCTTTGGGCGTTACTATTTGTTCTATACACTTACTGTATTCGGAATGTTGTTGGGCCTCTTGTTGTAATTCTAACAGTCCTACATCTGTTACACCAGTCATGTACTATCTCGTTTTCGTTTCCCTTATTTGTATCATTTAATACTGCGCTACATATATTTTCTATAAGATTAATTACTCTTGGCGCTTAGCACAAAATATGTTGGAAATTATGGTATATGCATGATTCTGTCTGACACTCAGCTAGCTTGGGGGTCTACTGGTGGTGAAGACATACCTTCACCATGATAACGTCGCCGTACTGGGACATGGGCGCGCACATCCTGGCTTATTTCTAAATTCGTCTCAGTAGAACTAATTCTTGTACATATCTGTAGAGTTCTCCCTCAGAAATCTTCAGTTCATTACATTAACTGAATATCTTTGAAGGTCTATTCCTACCCTCTTCGTGTCACCCTACCAAGCTTCACCCTAAAAGCTCTATTCAACTGCTTCGTTGTTCGGCATATATCCTTCACCTCCCTATACCATTCAAGCATTCCTCTACGATCCACAACCTCACAATACCTCTGACGGGGATCAAACTTGGCTCAAAGCAAGGCGCTTGGGGGTGATGGATGAGTGGGAGAATCGAAACAACAACACATGAATTTAGAGATACCAGCTAGTTTACTTGTTCACTGAATATGTGACGGTATCCGATTGGTATTATCTCGTGTTTTACCGACACTTAACATTTAGTGATTATCGGCACTGGATATGAGGGCGCAGAGAATAAGAAGTGAAGGATGATGGATCCTGTGTGGGGCGCTATTCTGGATCAACAATCGACTCTCATCTAATACCTCTAGCCATTTGCAATGCAAATTGATGTAAAGCGTAAGAAATCTTCGGCAGTTTAATTTAATTTTGGCACGGCCAAGGCTTCTTGAAGGACCTGGAGGACGGAGTGGCATCGATATGATGAAGCAGCTCTACCCATCCGGGCCCAGGAGATGTTGAGAAAAACTAGCTTCAAAGTCCAGCGAAAAGATGGTCCAGGTAGATAATCCAGTCAGGTATATATATCGGCCTTTACTCGGGCTTTCGGAGAGTATCTAATATTCATCAACCAGCAGATTTCACTTGCGACTATTCCGCTCACAATGCGCTTTTCCAGCATAGCCATCATTCTCCAAAGCGCAAGCATCTTCTCCACAGCTGTGGCTGGGGTTACTGCACATCAAATAGAAGAGCAAAGTAAATCATTTGTTTGTGACGGAGTCCCTATTAAATTCAATAAATTTGGATATCAACGAAGTTTAGTAGAGGATACAACGAGCATGTTAGTTCCAGGGAGTTTGTACCAAATATACAGGGAGAAATTGATTCAGGAATCCGAGAAGGATCAAAACCATGGGACTCCTTTGCAATATGCAGATAATTATACCACTAACTTATCTTTTTACCTACTCTCAGATTTGACATCATGTAAGTATCAATCCTTTTCTGCGTCGGAGTAGTACAGCTAACACACAATCTCAGACGAAAACCATCGTGCTTATTTCATCGTATTTGACTACTATCTCGTGTCGGACGGCCGCTATCGCGCTACTGCTATAATACTTAAAAAAACACAGCAAAATCGACCAGGATTTAATGAACAGTTGACAGACCCATATTACGAGTTATGCAAAGTTGGATCGTTTCGCTGACCAGCACAAATTGTCGGCCAGAGATTCGATTGCTTTCCATATTTACATGCTATTAAGGTTTGACTGTTGTATGAGCTTGGGTGGATACCTAAGCCTAGTACTTTTAATGTTCACGAAGAGCCTGATTGGAGAGAGAAGGATGGAGCTGGACGAAATGATTGTACAAGTCAGGACGCTGCATCGCTGTTACAATTGACAACAAGTGACTAATTAGTATGATATGTGGAGGATAGCCATAAGTTTGTAGATTCACGCAGCAGATCAATTGTTACAAGTAGCTGTTGGTTGCAGCAGGAGTTCTCTTTCCTCTCCATAGATTTTAACAAATCGACACAATCATCACCAACCCGCTTTCCATCACACTCGAAACTTTATCATTCAGTCTTGCCTATTACAAAGTACATCATAATCTTTGTCCACAGTGATTTTGGACACCTCAAAACCAAGGGAATACATCTCCATCAACATTATCCTCTGCCCAATACTAATCTAAGAGTATAGCACAGTTGATGTTTGGTCAAGTAATGAATTGAGTTCTGGGTCTGTCCCATGTAACGTGGAGTTGTCGTATGAGATAGGAGGAAGCTTCAGTTCCTTTTTTCCGAAAGTATAACTGATCGCTTTATTGCCGATGACATGGAGCATACGACGTTCTTGTATCTTAATTACCTGTAAGAGGCAATCAAATTATTCCAACTACCTTCTGAACTCCCATTCCGTGTTATTATCTGATTTTGGATTTCAGACGTCAGTTACATGATGCAAAAGCCTTAGCCAGCATCAGACATGTATCCTGACAACCTGAATCAGGTGTTGGATGATACATACTTTACACCCGCTCTTAATACAGTGGCGGGGGACTATTCTTTACACCTGTCAGTGGTGTCCCTTACAAACCTGCAGCTCTTATTGTATCGTTTGCAGAGCCGGGATTGAGTAACAAAGTCCTCCCTTCGACGAGGATTCTCCATCACTTTCGCAGTCTATATCGTCTTCATCCCTAACCACCTTCCCCTATCACCTTTGCCATGAAGCAAGCCACGATCAGATCAGATGTTAGTGGTAAAACACTGAGCTCAGATAATAAATATTGGTCAGGAGCATTAGCTTCAGGCTGTAGATATTTCTGGATATGTTGCTTGGAAAGTAAGAGCGGGCTAATAATTAACAGTACGTGTGGTGAATAATCCCATATCATTTAAGGTGATTTCTGTATACCTATTAAGCTGGATGTCTATCTATCTACATACGCACAAACAATGATGTGCCTCAGGCATAAGATATGATATATCTCATTGCTGATACACCCTAATTCATATTATGTTCAATATATTTTATTGTCCCGTCTAAGTCTATGACTATGTAGGACATGCAGGTCCTCTCTGCCTACAGGCCAGGGATACCTATACCAGTAGTATATCCCCTCCTATGCCTCCCATACAGCTCCCCCCAAACAGTACCACCCCTCATAAGTCCTCATTCGATCATACACTTAGAGGAGCCCTTTGCCCTTCATTATCTCCCCCCTCCAGCCAACGAAACAATGGCCATTTGCGGGTGTATGGCAGCCGGGAAAAATCGCAAAAACCACTGGGTGCGGAGCTCTCCTAATACCAATATTAGGACTAAATCCGGAGACATTGTGATCCTTCTGATGCGTTTGAAGAGGCCGGCCAGCTGGGCGCTGCAGACTTGTGGGTACCTCGGGAAATTCACACTCTGCCTTTCTAGCCTCCTTCCAACTACTTCCCGAAGGTCGTGCTGAAATGTCTAAAAAGTCTTGACAGAGCGTGATTGCTGTGTGGCAGTTTAGCCCAACATCTTTTGTGCCGTCCAGGGCGCTGGGGAGTGCTGTTGACTCATTGACAATAGAAGTGTTGTGAATACCACGGATCAGCCCCAATCGAGTCTTATTGAGCTTCCACAATTGCGGCACTTGAACACTCGGGCGCAGGAAGCTAGGTGATATTAGGGCACTGACAGCACAGCTGAGGATCTAATCACTCTGGCAACATCCCTACGTCCGAGTGTTGCCTGGTGGACCGATGCGTTTAGACTGAGGTGCACATCACTCTGATGGCTACCGAGGGGCAACAGCATATAATATGACAATGGTATGTATCTCTGTAATCCCGAAAGGTCCAGACTAGCAACCAGTATCAATGGTATGTTATGTCAGGAGATATTGGTAATGGCTATGGAAGTGGTTACTGTGACAGGTGTAGGAAGCACCTGTGATGAGTGCGTGATCAGGACTGGGGGTTGAATGTGTATATAAGGAAGCAATACTTCAGCATATAGATAGATAACCATTCTTACCACTGTCCATTCCAACGCATCTTTGCATTACAGCTACATCAATTATATCTGCATATCCATAATCATCTGCATCTATTTCAGGTATTCCTCTGTCTTCCCATGATCTCGTTATCATAACAAGAAGCCCTCCTGACTATTTAGCCGAGATCTCAGTCTTGGCGCCCGCAAACACTACAAAGTTGAAAACCCCTCGAAAATGTCAATCCTAGCAGGCTCTTCAGAGATCTATTCCACCTATCGCTCCACATCTCAGCCGCCTGTTCTTCCTCAAGTTGTTTGTCCCATTAGAGCAACAGTCCCCCATTAGCCGAGACCCAGTGTCGTGAAAGTGTACACTGTGTGACAGAGATATGTAGAGAAGATATTATTGTTGATAAATAATGTAGCTTGTATATGATACTGTCTAACTAAATATGTAGTGAACAGAGTGATGTACACGCTTTTGTCAAAAATACCCATTACGCAAACGTCAAGGCTATGAACACGTGATTCGGATTCATAACACCCCCTCACTTAGTGCAGTGCTAAAAGTAATACATGGTGTCACGGTTTCAGTACAAAATGCTTGGGCAATCTTGTAAGTACAGTATATTAATTATAATTCTCTGGAGAGAGAATTCCTAGATGTAAAGTCTACATATATATATATTCTAAACTACTGCCCTTCAAGATGATTCTCCCTATGACCTGAATAATTGAGACGCTTCTACAAATACCTAGAAGGTTCTCGGTACACCTGTTATCCTAATGAACCTTCAGTGTGTTTCCAGAAGGTTCACTGAGAATATTCGAAGTTCTGTGGCTTCCGAGACCTTCCCCTTGTGTCATAGCCTACGCTGGCTAGCGTAGGCTACAGGGGTCTTTCGGCTTAACAGCCGTCACACATGGAGAACTAGAATTACTACAATCTTTCAATTCGAACTGTTGATATATGCTTGGTAAGAGAGTCAGTGTTAAGGGGGGGGGCAACAAACAATGTCAAGGTGATAATGTTGAGCATAGTTATACTAATATGAATCTCTCTCAGAGTTTATTGAATTGATTGTCCTTTCTGAGGATGCTATCTTAGTTCTTAATTACATCTTTTAGATTATTCTTATAATTTCCTCCCAATCTTCAGATGTAGCCCAATAATCACAATTATTTATGCAAACAGCTCGTATTTCCTTTCTTTACATGGTTCTAAAATTGGTCCTGTTTGTTCCCCCAATAGCAAATTATAGGTGGAAAGTATAACCAAGCATAGTAAAATTAATGCTGTTTAATAGGAGATTAAGTGACTCGATTGTAATGACAAAATACAAATTACAAATTACAAATGCTAGCAGAATTATGCATAGGTAGGTGGGAATTTATCTAATAACACATGCATGACTCGAATATTGCCAGTGACGCTTTAATCTTGTATTTCAATTGCATACAGATTAACAATCTTTCATAAAGGTGATTCTTTATTTAGATGTTATGATATGTTACTCGACAGATAAAGAGTCTTGTGGGTATAGGTTAGGTTTAATTAACTGAACGTGACACAATCTATATTTAGTGCGTGCTTCACTCTATTTGTACATGACAAGCGAGACCCTAATACTAAGGCTGTTGAGAATCTAGCCTTGTGAATCAGGCCTACGTGAACTAAAATCTAATCAAATCCCAACTTATGCCATTAAGCAATTTTTTGGAAATCGATGAAAAATTCACCTACCCATCCCCTCAACCCTTCAATTCATAGTTTCACAAGCTAATTTCATCATTATCATAGTTGCAAGACCCTGAGTCTCCGAAATGGCGACGGGTCCTACGAAAATCACTCGCCCCGCGCGCCAGCACAAAGCCATGGCAAAATTATAATCAGGCTGAAACACCGCCTAGATGCAAGAAATCTATCAATCGATACAATAGATCAAGACAAGATGGAGTCAGAGATGACCGAAAGATTGAGAGTCTTCCAGGAAGACTCAGACTCAACAAACCCAGACGTGGAAATGGGCGATATGGTCATTGACCAATACATAATCTAGGGTCTCGACAAATCCAGATGGAATGTTGCTCAGAAAAATGATGATGTGGTCCCTGTGGCCTCCGGCATTTCAACATCAAAGAAGATTGCTGCTCCTGCTGTCAAGAAGGCAGCAATTCCAGAGGTGAATAAGGCTAATCAAGCCACACCTGCTCCAATAGCCAGCAAACCCTCATCAGTGGCGACTGAAATTCAACAACTTTCCTGCAGTGAAAGCAAGAAACAAAAAATCAATGGCTGCCCCCCGGAACTACAAGCCATGATTGAAGCTGAAGAGCGCAGGGCAGCTCAAGCAGCAAAAAATATAATGATCTGCACTGCTGCGATCAATGCTGTGGAGACCGCAGTCTCCCTTTACTCAGAAGAGTCGAGCAATCCGTTCATTGACTCGATGAAAATATATCTTCGAGCAGCCATTGCTCAATTCATGAAGTCGGGACCCAGTGCGGCCTCACCAATCCTTCCACAGCGCCCAAGCTGCCAGGAAAACATGAGTTGTCCTATAACCAAGGCTAAAGAAAGAACTCCGATGAACAGTCAGGAGCCACAACGGCAAGTCACCCAGGCCAAATCGACCTGGGCAACAGTCGCCCGGGGCTCTCCCCAAATGTCAATCGCTCCAGCGAAGACTGTTCGAGTCGCCCCAAACCCAGCAGGGTTG